AACCCAATGTTAGATTAACGAATGTTTAGACCCACCGAAAGTAATCTTTCATGCAACATTTTTTCTTTGCTTTTCTGCCACTACATTGCCAGATAGTAAGTACATTTTATAGCTCGGAACGGAGGGCGTAGAGCGGTATGATGCGCTCTTCGAATAACCATGTCACCCGTCCCTGACCGAAAAATTTCTACTAAGCGGGGCGAAAATCGGCAGAGTTCATTTGTTGATGTGGCAGTCAAAGTGATCCTGACTTCCACAAAATTCCTAGAAAGCACATACGACAAAATGTCTGTTAAAGAGACGAGTTATTGCAAATGCGTCATATACCTGTCTACATATTCACCCTGTGACCCGTACTTCGGTGAAATGTTTGCAAATACCTCCAAGTAGAAATATCGTCATTCGATAAATGCGCCTATGGCCTGAACAATGGTGACTTCATGCAACATGTTGTCCGAGCGCAGACAGTTACTAACACACCTACGAACGGCAAAATCCGCTAAGCTGTTGTATGGACTTTTTGAAACGCATTATTTCTTGAAAAAGATATTTCACTGAAATACATATGCGGAATAGCGTACCGGTTTTCCATTTGTTCTATCGAAGATCGAATTCTATTGTTCAACAAACATTGTTGTTGAGCTGAAATCTTTATTTAGTAACGACGCAGTCCACTGTTGCGATACCATTAGTCATCAACAAATCCATGGAGAAGTTTAAAACTTAGTGTTCACGGCATGCTAGTCGCTAGCTGGTGCAAGGCTAAAGGTAAAACGCTAGTGATATCAGTCCTTTCAACTCCCCAGACGCCCATTAAATGCTTTACGACCCAAAGACCGGACCTGGCCTGCCAGCCTATCCTGGAGTTCCGGTATAGCCAACTGAGCTGAGAAGCACGCTGCGAACAACGTTTGAGACGAGACACTCCTTTTTACCCCTCCTCTGTTAACCGAGGACGAATTCGTACATGCGATCCTGTAATCGTCGTAATAGCGTCTGGAAGATTAGCAAGCTACGTCGTCGCGCGTACTCGATAACTATAACAGTAATTTAGATCACCATGAGAATTCACTTAAGAAATAACTCCACTGGATAATAAACAGGCGAGAGCTGACATCGTGAATAGATAACATGGGAAAAAAAACTAGTGATAAGCAAGTTCCATGAACTCCTCCATAAGCGAATATGTTGTCTATGTCAAAATTGAGTGACGCTGCCAAGCGTTCTTCGGAATAATATAAGTTGCGCGTAAAGTATTGTATTGTACCTAGAAATATCATGTTATTTATGTACGCCAGACCAATTTGACCGGCTTATTTTGTTTGTCTTTGATTCCCATACCTTTCCAAATCGACCTACTAAGCCTACTAATAGGACAGCACACAACATATGGACACACTTTATGATCCTGTAAAAAAGGGCACAGCCTCCTTACAATCTGAAACGATGCAATTCATTAGTCATCACATGAACTTGTTTTTCTTAATAATGGTATCCGTCAAATCCTTTCGAAAGAAAATAAACTCAGTCCGACGCCTTTCTGGTCTACAGTGGCCAGCTTTGATATCAAATTATTTATGTATCGTGAAAAAAAAATAATAAAAACGTGATTATCGTATACCCTTCCTATCGGAATGCAGAATTTCCGCTTGTAGGCAGCTGAGAGGATGGATCGTTGTAGATAACGCGGGATCAATTTTTATCATCTTGCATCACAAGCACAACACGGGATATATAGATTGTTAAAGACACGCTCAAGCAGACATTTTGGCGAATTAAACACACCGCGGAAGCAAAGTGCTGCTGTAACACGGTGGTGGTATGGTTGATTATGCTGAAAGTTGATGTCATGATGACAGCACATAAAAGTGCGCCACCGGCTGACACGTTATTGGTGCTGTGGTAGCATCTCCTCCGACGTAAACCTGTCACCTTCGCCATCGATGCGAGGATCGGGTGTAACCAACGTTCTTTCCACCTTCCTGCAAAATGACGTAAAAACACTCCATTCTTAGCGTTCTCAGTCTTTCCTAGGAGCACTGCAGTACGCGAACAGTTCACCCGGGCATTCTCCTAAAGAAAAACAGTCTAGCCCAGTTTAGCCACGTTTCGGTTAACTTCGCCAACAACAACAGCAGCAGCGGTAGCGAACCTTTTCGTTCTTATCTCGACAGATTTCTGATACGTTACACCTCATGAGCTAGAGAGTTTTTGCCCTCGGTGGCAACAGCAGCAGCAGTGGTGGCCTGACAGCGATCAGTTTTCTCGTTTGGGCTAACCTAAGAACTTTCGGAACCTGGGTTTTCTGCGCGGCTGCGCCGGCATGTGCCTGGCCTCTACCGCCTTCTTCTGTAGTTATTCCGCTTCTCTTTGGGCTCCTTAGCAAAAGACGGAGGTTTGAGAGTAGGATAGGGGCGAAAAGGAATAGAGAGGAGAATTGGAGTCAGCCTGCAGCCGGCCCTCCAGAGCGACACCAGTGCTGACTCGATCGTTTGGGACCCGGAGGAACGAGGAGCTGACGGGGGGATGTCTCGAAGAGGTGGCGACTTATCTTCTTTTATCCTCATACACAATTCTCTCATCGTCGTCTTTGTCCCCTTGCGCTTTCGCTTCCTATGCGACAGCGCTCGCAAGTTTTCTCTCTTTCCCAGCGATCTTTTGGACCATGATTGCCACCGACACAATCGACGGCGAAGCTGAAGGTGGCGATGTGGCGACGGCAATGGAAGAGGTGGTGGTAAGCCAAATTCCTTGAAGGCCTTTTACTCTGTAAGCTTGCACTAATATATGATCGTCTAACCGTAGCACACAGAATAGAAAGCGTGCGAGAGAGAAGAAAGTTGGACTGGACTGGGTCTCCTTGATCCTCTACCGGCCTCGTTCATTTTGACCTGCCGCCTCGGCTGCAACAAAGGCGACGGTAGCGCTCTAGAAAGGTGGTTGCATTCCTCGCAGTTGACCGCTTTACTGGCTGGTCATCTTCTATCTGCTGCCAACAAAGGAACAATTTCAACTGCTTCGAACAACAGTGACGGCGACAAGTAGACGCGAGCGCGGTCGTAAGTAGGCGAGCGACTTGGTCCCCTTTGTCGTAACAAACAGGTCGGCTGATGGTGCAGCTAAATCAACGTGTATTATAGAGTCCAATAATATCCACGATTGTCTACGCTGTGCGTTTCCACACAGGTGAAAATAATAAACAAAATAATACAAATAAGAAACAGACAAAAAGAACAGCAAGAAAGTGAGAGCTTTGCCTATTATCTGTCGGACATTCGAATTTTGTTCCTTTTTTACGTTACCCTTTTTCCTTATGCCACTTATCTATACCCAGTCAGTTGTCAATATAAACGAACAAATGGGTGACCAACATATTCTTGATCAGCTTCTTAAGCCTTCAAGCCCGTTCTCTTCCATCTCCCCTTTACCAAGCACAAGTATTTATGAGATTTTATATGTATTGTACATGGAAATTTCCTCTTCAACATTACATACTAAGTAGTAGATGGCTGAGTTTTCTGGAAGCGTCGTCTACTTGTAATATAATATATATATATATATATATATAGCTCATAATACAAAAGCTGTCAGAATCATCAGAAGAGAGATGGACAGAAAAAGGGGGGGCTGATGGGAGTGACCGGAAGCTTCTGAGTGATGGGCTTCCACGCAGTCACAGGGAGAGATACAACAAAAAAACTAAAAGATGATGCGCAAGCCACGACATTTTTCGTGGGTTCTCTTCCTGTCGCTAAAGTCAAGCGAGAGTGAGCTACCGGTAGATGGTGGTTGGCAGCAGCCAGCGACGGAAGCAAAGACGGTTCGGTCTCTTTTTTATCGAGAATTTCCTTCGTAACCGAAGCTTTCATAGGTGCTGTGTGTCATCCCCCGCATGCTTTGCTTTTCGCTAGAAAGGGGCAAAACTGGGGTAGTCAGTTTTGGGTCTAGCTGGATACGGCTCGTTTTCTACCTTTCGTCGATCAGAATGTTGCCCATTGCAGCCTTATCGATAGCCATGTCTACCACGTTTTCGTACTGTAAGGTCTATGGATTGCTAGATAGCGGCACTAGATTCACCCGAAGCTTTCTAACATCCACCAGCCGAGTTAAACTATATATCAAAGTATATATCTAACTCGGCTTCTTGTACACCTATTAATTTTAACTTATGTCATATATTACTTATCGAATTATTATGTTCCTCAGTGAAGCGTTAATGTAACGTAGGACTGAAGACCGTTTAAACGCGACACGCAGACAATGAATTTGTTTGGACGCATATATATATATGTACATATAAATGTTTCGAAACCGAACGTATGTATTTTAATACATCTCTAAATAGTACAGCATTTGATACAATCAATCTGTAGTCGGTCATTAAATATCTTTGTAGACCGATCCAACTTTATCGAATAAGTCTTATATAGGGATGTACCGGTTCATGCGTCACACCTTAGAAAAATGTCTACTTTGCTTTGCTTTGCATATTAGTCAATCATAAATAACATCAAAATGTTGCAGTATTTACGGCATTTATTTCATAGGATACGATGGCTGATCCAGGAAACCAAACTGTAGTAACGTGACATAAGTTGAATGTTCGTCTGAAACGACAAGAAGATGGCGGATGTCGTCGATTAGTAAATGATTTGTACAGAAATGTTTAAATTTATATACGTAATTTCGCCACCGCTGACTTTTGTAAAGGCTTCAAAGGTCCTAAGCAAATACTCATAGAAATGCTATTTTCTGTACTGAGAAAAATAGAGATTTTGTAAAGAAGAAACAACCAACCTGCATAATGACAAGGATAATAGTAACAACTATTATATCAATAAATTGCAGCATGAATAAAGTTACAATCTTAGTATTTAGTCCTGCGTACCCGTGTCCATAAACTCGAGCTGAAACATTACCGCGTTTATAGCGGTACTGACATAAATCGCTTTACGTAAAGGCTTCCCGATATTCATGCCTTTTTACCGTGTTGCCTTGAGGATGCGGACGCACGTTACAGGGTCCATCTGGACGACTATCAGCAGCTGAATTCGAAACGGCCGATGGCTTATGCGAATGGCGCATTACAGCTACCCATGGCGAGCGAATTCAACTTAACATCACACAAATGGACATCTTCGAAACCGAGAACTGTGAAACTGATTACGTTGAGGTTCGTGACGGATACTGGCACCAAAGCGATCTTATTGGTAAGGACTGTACATCTGCTTAGTATACATCCCAAATAACGAAAAGTATTATGCGCAGAGCCATAATGACCACGGTCACATCGGGTGGCACAAATGTAGATCGTCCAATATTGTAGGGATTTACGCGATTACATGTGTATGTGCGTGCGTATGTGCACAACGCAGCGTTGTTGACATACATACATACATAGGAATAAGCTGAATGATCTGTACAGGTCGCTACTGTGGCACTGGAACTCTGCCGGACACGTTACTCAGCAGCGGATACAGAATGACCGTGATTTATCGAACTTCGAGCAATGCCAACAAGCATTCAGGATTCGGTGCTACCTACGAAGGTTTGTTCAGCTCTCTTGCCAACAAGGACCTGCTTTAGTATATATATGATTATGTTTTAAATGTTTAACTCTTTATTGTTTAATCAAGCTCTGGTTCGAGCACACGTACTGCAAGGCAAAGTTCGATAAAATCTACATGTCACACAGCAAAGCTTGAATCAGCTGACCTTCGCCAATCTTTGTCTACTACATTCCTTTCTACGGAGTTGAGAGTATAAAAAGGAGGGTGAGAAGATAGGACCACGTTTTATCGGGATCTTCCCGTATCTCATTTCATCTGCTTGATTACTCAGAAATACTAGTCCTATCTACTTTTATGCATGACAAAACACAACGATCACAGGGCAACTACGAGGCATATGATCAGACAACATTCGCGGTTATCCGTATCAAAGGCTCCAAAGTTTTCAAGCAAAGCCCGGTATCAGCCAGTCGGAACTGAAGCAGTAAAATAGAAACGGCTAAAGGCCTACAGCCCACGCGGTTGCTCGACATTCACCGCTAGGTCGCATGCGCTCGACAAGTGGGCGCACGACAGGAGGAAGAAGCGGATTTCAAAACCACTTCATCGGATGCCAAGAGAAGGAACGATAGCGCGATTAACAGAAGAAGGCCTTCGACCCGAATTGACATCACGCTAGGATATGGGGGTGTTCTGTGATAATCGTGATAATATTCCTTTTTCTTCGTACTCAGGAACCCGATATTTAGCTGGAGGCTCCTGCCAGCATAGTTAAGTCAGTTGGTGTCTCGCGAGGCGCGGCATTGCCAAGGGAAACGAAGCGCTTCGGCGAACTGGATACGAAACTAAGGCATACTCACCTCCCCCACCGAGCAAGCAATGCCCGCTGTGCGACGCAACGAACGGCTGAGCAACGTCAACTTAACGGTATTCGTATTCTGCTACCCGGGCAACCCGAGCCTCGGTGTCAGTGCTCGGCATTTGCTTCGTTGGCTCCTTCCTCTTCCTCTTCTGCCTTCACGCCTTCAAGCAGATGCGGTCAGGCCCTTACCCCGACCGCCGTTGGCGCTATAAAGACAGCGTAAAGGCCACACTCGCAGAATCCTTGTCTGCTTCTGGTTCAGCAGTTTGATGCTATATGGCGAACGCTGGGCTCCTTGCTTTGTCGCTGATATCGTATTAACGCTGTCACACCACCTTCTTCTTTGTCACTGTGGCCGCGTCAACGGCCATGTCGCGGGGTAAGCGTTGCGAGCGGTACCACCATGGTCATTGCTGTACGGTGGTTACGGTGTCGGCGATGTTTGGAAAATCGATCCCGAGCAGCAGCAGCGGCCCTCCATGTTGGACGTCGCAGAGAAAAATCATTCCACGACGGCTGTTTGGCTCTAGACAAGACAGTTACTTAAGCTCTCTCGTGTAAGTACGGGAAACAACTTGCTCATGTATGGCACAACATTAAAGTCATTTACAAAACAATGCATATATAATATATTACCAAATGTTCATGCCTTTTTGTTTGTTTAGATTTTTTCTTAGTGTAGGTCAGGTTGCAAATGACCTACATATACCTATTTTTGGCTCCTGAAATAGTGGTTCATTTCAAAACCTCACTCATCAGTTGCTAGTATTTACCTTAATTAGAGACCCTTCTTCGACGCGCCAGCTGTTTGTTCGGGTTTAGCTACATGCATTTTTAAAAAACTGACTTTGTTTATTTACACAGGTTGCGTAGTAGTTGTGTCGTTGGGTGACGGAACTCAAAGCAGCGATTTCTGGTCTGTTTCAAGACCAGCGGTCCTTTTCTATGTGCCAGACCTTTTTAGGTTTGGCCGTCCAAGGCGCTACTTGGCCACTCTAATTCTAGTCGAATCCTTTTCCCAACAGCGCATTGACTCCGCCATATCCCATGCGTCAAATGCCGCAAAATTAGGCATTGGAAGCAAGTAATGATGTCAGACTAATTCATATCGTACTAAATTAATTTACCACGCTTAGCAATTTGCGGCGGCGACTTAAGTTTGGAGGATACCTTGGTACTGCAGAGCCCAAACTACCCGGACGAGTATCGACCAGCCAAGGAATGCGTCTGGAAGATTATCACCGAAGAGAAGTTCCAAGTTGCGCTCAAGTTCCAGGCTTTTGAGGTGAGCTTGTAAAAATCTTCCACATGCGTAAGTATGCACGCCACTAGAAGTGTAACAATATAGCATGTTCTATTTTAAACATATTCCATAGATTAGGTTGGTTCGATATTCAATAACGCACCTTAATTTAGAATAGCTGTGTTTGAAATAAAATTTCTTGAGATTCGACCCCCTCGCTCTAGCTTGCTACTTAGTTCTCTACTTTGTGGCATCAACGTTATACCTTCTAATTGGCTTCTTAAGATGACTACATATTCTGGGTGTCTTTTGGGCTGTGCGATCGCTTTACTCGGGTCGGGCAACAGACCTAATCTGAGGATTGCCGGTAAGTTTTACGCAAACAACTTGCTTCGGGGTCTGGGTTCCGTTGAAGGTTCGACCGACTCGGCAGGCATCCGACTACCTCGTCTACCCGTCAGTACAGACATCCAGAGTGGCTTTGGCCCTGGAGGGCCTTTACGCATGACACTTTCACCTACAGTTTGAACAAGCAAGCTACCGAGCGCGCTCGTCGCTGATGCTTAGAAGGCAGCAATAGTTAGATAGGGCAGAAGACTAACTTTGTTGACAAACTTTTAATGCTTCCGAACTACACACGGTGCAGCAAGCTGGCTAAGTATTTCGGATGAAAAGAAGCGGCTAAAGTCAGGCAAGCGAGCACGAGGGGCGCCATGCCAGCAAGACAGAATAGACAGACATGCCGGCATTCTCAAAGTGGACGTTGAATGGGTACGGCAGATGGTGCGCAAGACTTCTGCTTACTGGCCAAAACGAACGCATGCACTGTTAAAAATTACTATGTAGACAGTTCGTTCTTCTGCTAATTTTTTTTTGTTCGAAATATGCATACCGAAAGGAATTACCTGCACTAAACATTTAAATAGATGTGAGATTCTACATTGGACAGCATCTTTAATTTACTCTCTAACTATTTCATTAGTTATACAGGTAGAGCTTTTGATACCAAGAATAGATTTCAAGAGAACTCTGACAACGGTTCGGCCTTCAGATTATTATGTTGATAGGTATTATGTATATCCCGACTTTACCGGTGACAGAAACTGAGTTTCTACATTTTGCATTATTGGCTGATTTATCAAAACTCAGTTATTAGGTCAGCCCAAGATCTAGTTAATGAGCACTCAGTGGTATTTGCTTAGACAAGCAGGCAGGCAAATGCTTATGAACGCATAAGTAAGCCCTAGCAGATATTTAAGGTTTGCTTTTTCTTTATTTTCCAACTTGCCTGCCGTACAACTGCTATGATTTTTCAGTGTGTAAACATTCTGTCGTTTAGCCTTCAAAATGCAATAGGATTTGCTCATTGTGCCACCGAGTTAGTGCCCGTCAGAGTTTAATATTCTCCCCGCCGCTGTTGCTACGAGCACCCTCAGTAGCTCCTCGGGCATTGCTTCGCTACCGTTGGCGTTGTCTGCGCTGCCGTTACCATCATTGTCATTAAAACCGTGTTTGTGTTCCTTTCTATGAAAGGACCTGCAGTGGTTCATATGGGGGATTTATATGAGGACTGTGTGGGGAAAAAGGATATGCTACGTAGCATACACGCTCAAAATATCCCTCTCTGGCAATAGGAATGGTTCTAAGACCGACCGACCGACCGACTGGCCCACCAAGCGACACGTAGTGAAACTCTAAATGTTGAAGCTCAGTCAGAACTGGCCGGCTAGGGCAAATCAGGAAGCGGGCTTGAACAAGCCAACGGGCCAGCAAAAGCGTCTGGACTGAGCGGAGCTGGCCAGTTGTATTTTTTTATTCACATGCAGAACGCGAACGAAGAAAAGCGACAAGTAGACAAAGAGAAAGGGAGAACAAGAGAAAGAATGAGATAAAGACGGAGCAACGCGCGCGCAGTTGGAATGCGGCGATGGCAGAGCGTCCTACTAGATGATGTAGAAGTGGACACTAGGATGCTCTTACGCAGAAGAACAGAATAGCCCAATGACGAGGAGCTCGGAGCCAAAGAAAGATCGAGTGCGAGCGCAAGAGGGATTCCCAAGGAAAGAGAAGGAGAAAGCAACCATGCAAACGAACGGGCGGGCAGGCTTACAGACGGACTGCGGGACCGACCGAGCACCTGACTGAATGAGGACATCCAGGGAAATTTCTGCTCAGGGGCTCTACTACCCACAGTCTACTGCTTTGGCCGCTGCCTGACACTGTGCGGACTGCCTCTGAACTAGACCTGAATCCCAACTCTGCTCCTGCCTCGTCTGTTCGACAGAACCCTCTCGTGTTGTCCCTTTCGTCAGGTTCCTCCAGCGTAACACTTCCCTGCTATTCTCTGTGTGCTTCGAGTACGAGCGGCCAGCAGTTGGGCAGCTCAACTATGAGGCAGTTTCAAGCTGCTGGGCTCGTCCAGGCACAGTAACGGCCCAAAGTCAGCAATAGTGCCAGCAGTACTAACCGTGGAAATGAGATAAGCGGCGAATGTCTGTCAAACGACGACGCCGGTGTGCCCCGAGAACTCCGCGTGGGCTGGCTGCCTGAAGCGTTCACTCTATGACAGAGCCACACCCGGCAATAACTGCGCTAGATTCCACGGAATGTGGACACAAAGTCTGCGCTATGCTTCTTCTAGTGCAATGACTTCTATACGCTGCCCATGCAACTGCGGCCGTTATGAAACAAAGAGAGTGAGATACGCCTGTACGTTCGAGAAGGCACAAGAGAGGAAGCCAGCGCACGAGCAGTGGGTGAATACAAGGTTAGCTAGGTCGCAGGTTTACAGCAGTAACTGTGTACCAGTAGGACGTCACGGGCGCTTTCGATACTCTGAGCAGCAGGTTGGTTGAGCAGCACTCGACCAAAGTGTTTTTAACGAAGACTGCCGAAATTGGAAAGCAGGCTAGACTTTTGTTCTATGCAGGCGGGGACGTACGTTTGCCGACTTAGAGACGTCGTCTGGTGCAAAGAAAGGAGAAGATGGAAAGAAACGGAACAAACTGAAGTGGTGACGGGACAACCCTGTCATCGCGTGGCCGACAGAGGAAAATTACCGTTAATGATTCAACTTAGTAATCAGAAGGCCTGTAAGCACAAAACAAGACAGTGAGATCTACGAGAAACAGCTTAACCCTGCTTATAAGATGCACAGTACCTTGAAAAAAAGAGGGAAGCAAAAAAGAGGAAAAGGAAAAATTGCTGCTGCAAAGCTTGTTCTGAGGTTGACTCAACGATCAAGTTGATGCTTTTATGCAAGTATACACACATTTATGCTGGAAAGTTGCAACAAAATTATGACCATTATTTAGTTCGATAGTCGCGCATAGGTCCACCTAACTTTTTGAAGTTAATTAATATATTAGGAAGTAAGATGGTCTTTTGGCTTTGTATGTTATGTGTAAAGAACTATGACATTACGGGTGGAATTTTACTATCATATATAAATTCTGGTAACTATTATGTCGTCAGTCAGAATACTTTTATCGTAGTTGTAATGTCAGCGGGATGTATTCAGCAAAGCAATTTTGATCCACTGCTGAAAAACCTTTAGTTCATAAATCTCCAGAGAGTTATCGCCTAGTTAAATCAGACAGAGCGTTAACAGACAGAGCTTAGTCAACAAGGTATCTGTCAAGGCAAGGAAGTTTATAATCCTTTCATAGCTAAGTTATGGAAAAAAGTAAAGTAACTTAGCAAAAAAAAAAATCACTATATAATCGCGTAAAAAAATGCCATTTCGATTTAAAAAGTAAAGACACATTTGCAGAACAAAATTCACTTTTTGTTTACGAAACGCTGAAGTAATCTACTTTTGTAGAAAGTTATAGCGTACCAATTTTTCGACACGGTACAATAGTTCAACGGAAGCGAAGTAGTAATTTTTTCAGTTAATCTATATGATAATCGTTCGATATTGATACAAAATGAATACCACATGTTTTTGATTTAGATTTCGGCGACTTCCAGCAGGTAAAGGCAATCTTAGCAGGAAATATTTTTCACTCAAGGAATTTCGAAAAATTAGAAGGAGCTTTTTGGATGAGACTTTCTATTCGTCGTGATGGAAAAAAATCAAAATTATTAACAAGGTCGAGTAATCGCGGTGGTCCAGGACGAACACCAGGATAACCGAGTAATATCATTTTTCGCGCTCCATAAACACGTAGTTAGAGCGGCACAGAAGTATGTTAAATTGATTGGGCTTCCATAATCTGCTCCTGTTGTGTACATCCGGCCATAGCACTAGCTTCGCAAAGACCCTATATCTTAGAAAATATGGGTCACATGTTATTGTCGGCATCAAGTATATGTGACGGTTGAAGGTCAGCGTTTCGATCACTTACTGTGACACCAACAGCTAACCGAAATAAGATTTAACTCTTTAATATGAACATGTTCTAATTTAAATAGAAATATGACAAATGCGGTGAAGACATATCTGTGAACTTGTTGCCGTCCGTAAACTTAAACTTTTAGCGGTAAAGTTAATATCGGCACCCCATGGTCCTATCGAAAAATCCTTTATATCGTTACCTAGTTAACTAGGAGCTTATGTATGTACGTACGCATGAAGCAAAACACCAGTAACCTCAATAGGCTACAGTAAAAGCGTATCGGGAACCCTAACTCGGTGAGTTACTGCATCCTATCCTTGAAGTGCGCGTAAAATCTTCGGTCAACAAAGCACGATTTTTTTTACACGAATGTTAATCTTTTTCGTAACTTATATTTTGTTGAGGAAGAGTTGTGATATAATTACAGAGGTGGCAACACTGGTTTAAGTTATTGCAGAATTTTTCATAACGTATGTTAGAACATGGCCCGCAGCAGTTTTACAAGTCATAATAGTTACGTAGTGAAGGTGAAAATGCTAAAACTAAAAGAGACGTATCTGTATCCACATAAACACTATCTTCATTTTTCATTCACAATGAACATGTTTGAATATTAAATGTGTTTTTCAGGTGGAAAGTCACGACAACTGTGTGTACGACTACGTCGAGATCGTTGACGGCCACGACAACGACAGTCCAGTCATTGGTGAGCGTTGTCATTAAGCGTTAATGTTATGGCAGAGACCCAATAACCGACGCGATGTTTTTTTTTTGTAATGTATAGAATCGAATCTCTCTAATCGTGAGCTAGTTATTGTTTGCTCTTTGTTTTTAGTGATTGTTAGAGCTAGTAATTTAACTACTACGACCGGAACTCTTTCACAAGTTGCTAGTGGACAAAGGCACTAAACGAACTATTGTTATTTCGAGCGTTTGCCCCCCGAGCCCAGACTATTTTGCTACTAGAAAGAGTCGAAAATGGCTGAAACTGAAGAGGCTATACTACTGTCAATTGAATTTTCTTAAAAACCAATGCTACAGCTGGCACAAACAACTCTGCCCCTGTATTGATACGCAAATCATTCATATTTAACTAAATAAGAAGGCTAGCAGATTGGCTGGCGAGAAGAGTGTGTTTTTAATGTTTTTGATTCTTGTCCACATAGGGAAATATTGTGGTTTCAAACTGCCCGAGGACATCCGCTCCTCGGACAATAAACTTATGCTAAAGTTCGTCTCGGACTCTACGGTGCAAAAAGGAGGATTTTCCGCGACGATGCTAAAGGTGCGTATTAAATTTTGCCCCCAAATTAGACACAAACGACCTACAGAGTGGCTGTAATGCCATACGACAAGCAGCGCTTAGTAACGAAAGAAAAAAAAACTTCTTTAAGTTTTTGCGAATCGTTTGAAGACACCAAGACAAGTTGCCAACTTCACGCCATTCATGAATACTGAAGATTCCTCGGGGTTTTAATGCTTACACAATAATAAAATAAAAAAGGATTAATAAGATTTGATTTTTATACATTTTTACGTGACATTCAGGTTTACTCTTATTTTTCTGACTGATCTTTTCGGGGAGGGCGAGCTGAGCTGGGCCGCCCTGAATGCCCTTGTCACTTTCTTTAATTCGTAACTAGATCTCCCGAGGGATGGAAGAAACGCAGAGAGAGCTAATGAAGATATGCTCGTATCCTAATGTGGCGGAAAACTCTTGTCGACGACACACACGTATGCATCGAACAGAACATGCTTCTACTATTTAACACAGAATTATATACGTGAGTCATGAGTTTGCACAAACAAATATGGACGAATCTGTACAAATATCGACAATATCATATCCGATTTTTTTGCCGTAAAGCAGCTTCCTCTATTCTAAAAGTTTCTTTCTTTTTCTTTTTTCTAAAAGTGTAATAATGTGCAATTGATTTTATACGTCCAAAGCACAAACCTGATGATTTCTTTAAGGAGTTTGTATCCGCAGAAGATTAGCAGGGTTATATTTGGCTATCGTACTGAATATTCTGAACAAGCATATCCATGATGCACTTAGACATGTCCATGGAACAACATTTTTTTGTTGATGGCATCGTTGATTTACTTCTGTGTAGCCGTTCTGATTGCTGGAGTACGAGTCAATATTTATCAGTATTTAAAATTCGTTCATTACAAATACTAAAAGCACATGAAATGGATTCTATGATAGGGCTGCTATTTCTCGCCAAATTCAACATGAGATATCGGCAGACTGATGGTAAATACCTTTGTTTTATGACACTGACTTAAACAATGGTCATTCAAAATCAAGAAAACGTACCTTATTTTCTGCAGACCACGAGATCCCAAGATATTTGAAAAAGTGAAATATATACTCAGGTAACTGTACGCGTTTTTAGGCTTCTAGGAGTCTGGATGTCAAAGTGAAAGGCAACAGGATACTGAGATTCCTCTAGGTTTCTCATATTTCGTACTACAAAATACACCAAACAGCCAACAGTTTCCGAGCCTTACAATCTTTCGCGGGCCTTAAACTTAAAGCACATGTCTTTTGTGCAGGCTTCACAGAACCTTAAGTCTGCACTCGCGATACTAACTGATGCTTCTAATAGGATATTCAACTTCAGTTTTTTAACAAAAACTTTTACTTGTGTAACTTTGCACTTACTCATCCATTGGTCCGTTTTGCCAGCACTCTCTAACTAAGCATAACTTACTATTTATATAGTTTTTTTTTCTAGACAATGCTTATCGACTTGGCTCCATTTCTATGACTTCAACTAGAGCATACTTGGAACGTTTCAACATAAGCTAGTTTTCGTTACTGTCAATACAGGAATTCGACGAGTGCGTAAATACGGACCATGGTTGCGATCATATTTGCATTAATACCCTCGGAAGCTTTAAATGCGAGTGCAAGATTGGGTACGAGCTGCATTCAGACGGTAAAAAATGCGAAGGTAAGACATGGCCAAGGGCAGAAATTTTCCATTTTAATTGTGGATCAATGTGGATCGAATATGGATTTTTTGCATGAGCTACTTCTGGGACTGTATACAATAAAAACAGGTGTGTCATTGTATTTTTTTACGTGTGCTGAAAAGTCGTTTATGACGACCACGTTTATATATATATATATATAGCCATAATTTGTTTAAATTACAGATTCAGTTTGGGACACTAAACCACTAACTGGTCATTTTCGAAGTATTTCTTTATTGATTCACAAATATAATACGTTAAACGACATTGCTAGGTACTGATTCGCTAAAATACCGCTCAGATACGTCGTATAGAAAACGTTTTAGCGTCATCAAATATTGAGCTGATAGCAGGGCAAAATTGCTAAAAAATCAAGGGTTCAAAATGGCCAAAAATTCAAACAGTGGACAAAGGCGTATAAACTCTCGAAAAGATTAGCTATTGAAGCTTATCTGAGCGACCCAAGTAGCGATTCATATTAAAGTAGCCATTATTTCTGTATCAAAGAACCTAGATTTATCGAAACTCTTTGAAATATTTTGGTGAATTTTCAAGTCGTAAAAATCTAAACCCGTTTGAGAGATCTTCCGGCTTGTCTTAGGAATTTTCCAAAAACCGCATGAAAAACTAGCAATAATGTAAACCGCAATAAAAAATTATTTTTTATTTTGGCAAGGGCCCAGCGTGGAAAAAATGAATAATAGCTGGTCTTCACTCACTCTCCGAAAGCGAGACTTTGTCTTCACCACGACGTTTTAAGGAAGGAAAAACTGGCGTTTTTTAGGGTGAATGATAGTGAATGCACGCATGCACCCTACGACAAGATGGCCGCCGAAATAAGTTCAAATTTTAATATCCCACATTGTATATTACCATAGAAGTCTAGAATAAAACAATTACCTCTCGTTTACTTTACTTGAAATTTATCAACGCACAGAAATTTACGAAAAACAGAAATCTGCGAAGGCAAGAAATGGACGATTGCGTCTGTAAAATACCGAACAAACGTTTAAATCTAGTAAGGACTTCTTCTGTAGCAGAATACAATTTTCTTAACATTTAGTTTACACATAACTATGTTTCTTCATCATATTTCAGATGCCTGTGGGGGTATGCTAGAGGGTATGAATGGCACACTGACATCACCGTCTTTTCCCGATCTTTACCCCCCTAACAAGAACTGCATTTGGGAAATTGTAGCACCGCCTCAACATCGGATCACGCTTAATTTTACGCACTTCGAACTCGAAGGAACAAACGTGCGTTTCTTAGTTAAATATTTAAGTTAAAGGAAAAATGAATAATTGCCTGCCGGAATCAATTAAGTTTTTTGGTGCTACCACTTGCTTGTTATTTTAGATCTTTTATGCACTTTATATCAAGAGTTGGCTGTATAGAACAGAATACGTACAAATTATACCAGCGTGGGATAGATACATATCGGACGAAATAAGTGAATTTCGTTTGATCTCTACTATCCACGTTGCCGTCTGTTCCTCATACAGTGCTGTTACTCACCTAATAACGTTGAGCACCAACTATGCGGTCGGAGTGGTCATCTTGTTATCGAAGACTTTCCACAGATAGCTTTCTTCGCCCAGGACGATGGGCACATCTAAGCGTCCTTACACTATCTAACGTTGGTGTTATTGGGCCTCGTTTCGTATCTGGCTAAATATTTTCTTTCGTGCGTTTCCACTGTTACAACGTACGTCATCTTATACTATTGGGGCTGGCTGGTGACAATGCGCATTTTTTCCAAATTGACCCTACCTCTTCTGACCTGCGTCATCCGTGTCTCTCTGCCTTTTACCGGCTGCGCTATATCGTCAACACGAACATATGTACTCATCCTGCTGAAACTGGTGCAACAATACCGCAGCAAGAGTGCGAATACGATAGCGTAGATGTGAGTTCCCGAGTGCGCGACGTGACGGTTAAAAAGCATGGCGTATTCTGTGGTACGCAGAAGCCATCGTCGATCACCTCCGAAGGCAACGTGCTCAGGGTAGGTTTTTAGTACGATATGAAAAGACAAGCAAGCGTATAACGTATAAAGAAAAAGAGAAGTAACTTACCAGTGTTAGAAATATAAAAAATTTCAGACACAATGATAACATTTACATTTTCTACTTATCGCCAAACAAGTAAATGTTCGAGTTCTACCTCTTATTCAACTAAGTTAGCTAAACAATGCTTTAGAAGGCTGGCTCCTTTCATATCAAAGCTAAAAGGGTTTGTGTCCCTTATAGGTCCTATGGGTTTCAAACCTAAACTACTTCACGTGTCCCTTACTTTACACTTTATCATTGCATCATTAACAAATGGCACGATTATCGGGCAAAAGAATAGTTACGCTAGTGCACCATGACTTGATGCAGGAAGCGACGAGGAAGAGGCGCTCTTATATTTAAAAATCTGCATTTTATATGGTATTGTAAACCTTTTACTATTCGGGCTTACTCCACACACACCCATAATATGTTGTTGAAGTTTTCCATAAACGTTATGTGTGTAGTAGTAAAAACACAAATTAAATCCTGAACTCAGGTAAAGCCAGGCATGGGTAATATTCTAACGATACGGGAAGCGTCAAAGTCGTCGCTAACCGCATTTGTTAAGAATATATCTATGCGCCATACATTTGTTTTCAATATTTACCACTGAGTCCTCAGCGTTTGTTGCATAAAACCTTGCTCGTGACGGAACTTGTTAAAACCGTCTATTGCAGTCGTTTGAGTATTAGTTCACTGGGGAGAAGAAACAAAGAACAGCTACAACATCTAGGTCAAACAGCGAGCCCCTTTTCACTATTTTCTTTTGTCGACTATCAAGAAACTGTGCATTTATGTCAACTTGTTTTCAGTTTCAGCAATAAGTTGCAAGACGAATAAGTTATGGGTTTTTCACCATGATCGTGTACCGTCTGTGACGCCATCGTAGCGGTTTCTACTATTGAAATAAGAAGAGTTTAGCATAATTTATCTAATGTCTGGTAAAACGACAGCACACGTTGGCGTTAAATCTGTCGGGGGTTCCTTTAAAGGGGCAACCTAAATTTAGATGGTTTAAACACATACCATTTGCGCAAAGCCTAACACGTGGTACATTATTGTCGCAATACTTTTTTATTTCTAAGGTATAGCATAGTATTATCGTAGCAACGTATTATTACCGCATGACAGAAACAATAACTCTATACTGTGATTACAGAGAAGCTCTTGCGCATTCTAGGCTATAACGATGCTCGTTTTTTGTACTTTTTCGTTTATGTACAAATAACGCCAGTACATGGTGCCCTTGAATACTGCACCGCACTTTGAAGTTACAGCGAGCGCAAACGAAGCTACGTAAAGTACAGGAGTGCTTGTCTACGGTGGTGACTGCATTTATGAGAGAATTTGTTTTATATCATATGTCACTATTAGGTAAACTTAAGTAAAAAATGTTTGAATATATATATATATATATAAATGAAGCTATTTATTTACTTTCAGGTTGAATTCAACTCAGACAACTCTGTGCAGAAGAGCGGTTTCGCGGCGGTCTTCTTTACGGGTAAGTGTACTGAATTCTAACAGACAAGCTCTTTTCTATCGAGAGTCAGTCTCTACAGCTTATGCTGTAGGTTTACGATAAAATTTTGTTACGTTTGATAGTGGATGACACTGCACAGACGCGAATATAGAGGAGGTCGTTGCCGTCAAGCTGCTTGAACTGACAACGTCTAGGCTTCATTAATAAACAAGTTTCGGGTCCGGTGCGGGAGGTGATGGGGAATAAGTAGACGTTCCCGCTGAACGTCAGTTTCCCTTGTCTTTAAGCCTTATCAAAAAAGCTTGAAACCAACTTGGCCATTCCTAGTAAAGACTGCTCTGTTCATTCACTTTGAGATATTATTAAGGGTCACCGAAGCAACTTACAGAGTGGTGCTAGGGCAAAATGCGGAGTTTCGGTAAGGCCAAGTGCACTTGCGCTATAGCATGACTTCCGGGTGTGGAGAATATGTTGCCAGTTCAGATTCTAGGCGGTCACTCTTATAACTGCTCACGACTGCTTGACGAATTTATGCTGTAGTGTTAATCTGAGCATGATACGTCTAAGAAGTATGACGGTCAAAACGGAAGTCGATCAATAGCAATTTTATTAAGAATGAATCATGATCGATTGTCGGTACAGTCAGTATTCTGATAGCTTATTTGTGTAATCGTTACGGGTTCACGACGCACAGATTACTGTCTATACCTATACATTAATAAATGTATTAAACTACTATAATAATCAGGAGACAAAACTGCAGCCGGACAGCTTTCGAGCACGAATATTCGATAAACCTGCGACCTTAGAGGCGCGCTTGCAACATACGTTTCACAAATTGCACTCAGTCTTTCGTACAAACAGAGTGTGTGCATTTTTATATATGTGCGCAATACATCTTGCGTGCATGCTGACAGTAGAGATATTACAATATTGGCGGAAGCTTCAACTGACCGCCTGCGCTATCACCGGGCGCGAGCCGGCAGGAGGCTCCGAATCAACGAACGGACGTATGGGCCTACGTCCCCATCCTGATTCGTCAGCAAAGCTAACATAGCTGCTTGGAAGCCAGCTAGAGATGCGCAATGCGACTTACTTCCTGTACGGCTTCCGATATGCTACCATCCGTGAATGTACCGCCTGAGCCGTAGCAGTCACTCTGACAGCTGCCCTACTGGCCGATTGGTCTGGCTGGCTACAGAAACTAGACGAGGACCAGGTTGTCCAACGGTCTTTCGGTAGGTCGAAGCACAAGCGACCAGGACGACAGAGCCATCTCTCCTGTGCCTTCCTCCCCCGCTATTTTCCCTTGAGAGTGGCACACGAAGCTACAAAAGACTGTGGAGATTCCCACTGGATTAGAGAGCGACCCAACTTCAATAGCTGGCTAACCTAACGAACCCTACTAAATAACGCAGAGAATGATGGAATAGACATCCAGAACGGTTGCGGTGTCCAAGAAGGTTACAGGGCATGGAAAGCGTAAGCCTCATCATCGAAGTAAATTTAAGTCGTACATGAACCGTAATAGCTACGACCAACGGCTCAGCTCACAGTATACAAGACGACGATGACGTGTATGCGTATCACAAGCGAGTGACTGTTGCCCATACTTGTTGCCTATCTCCTACGGTGCAGTAGAGGGTTTCTCCGAACTGTCATCTATGTAGCCATTGGCTGATTAAGGCACAGCTGTTCGGCAAGGAACGAAGTGAGTATGGGAAATAGCAACCTTCTAATGTTGAACGGTGCGACTACGGTTTTCAACAAACGGGGAATAGCAGTAATACGCTAATATCGCTTTTTGCCATCAATTTGCTGTTTTTTCCCCTCTTTTTTTTTTCTTTTTTTTGCATCCCGCCCGTTTTTTGCCCGGTCTTCCGCAAGAGAGCTACAGGGAACCGCTTAGGTGCAAGATCGTCAGAACATGACGGATCGACTAATAGAAAACGGTGGTGGAAATCAGGTATTTTTTGTACGAAACTTTCCGGCGGAAACTTGCCTTCCTCTTCCTGCTGCTACTACTGCTGCTGCTGTGTAATAAATTTTGGCTAAAACTTTGTTCTCTAAGACGTTCATGTCGGGCTGACTAATGCTGTGCGGGATGAACAGAACTAGTAACAGTTTTAGGAACAACATAAGCACTTGAGGGTAAGAACACTAGCAGTAACAACAGTAATCAACAAGCATAACATAGACCTCGTATAGGAGTTCTCGTACCCAGGCGTCAGTGTGGTCGCAATAATGAGTCACTTCAGTACAGGACAACGGCTTTTCGACTTGAAGACGTTTATCGAAGGAACATTGCCAAACGCAACTGTACTTACATTAGAAGTATCTGTTCGCTTAACCCCTACAGGGGGGTTCGGGTTAGCTTGAATGCCTTTAGAGAAAGGACAGATTGAAGAAGTCAATTTTGTGCGAGTCGGCAGACACCTGTTTGGGACATGACATGGCAAAAAACAGCGTTAATATTCGAAAGTATTTAACTGTAAAAGTGAAGTTGAGCAAAATTTTTTTCTTATAATGTCGATGGGCGTCTGCTCTGTTGGGTCACATAACCTGTATTAATCGGTTAACGCTGCTCGTTTACAATTAGTTGTTTTTTGCTGGCTGGCTAATAAAAAAAAAAAACCTTTTTTGGCACAATCGGATTGAGGCGGCCTACATATACTAAATACAGATTAGTGCAAAATCCTGAAAGATACCAGCCAAACGAAGCGGATCACCAGGACGTTAATAAACTTAAACTATGGTAGCATGCTAGGAATAGATATGATTGGTCCGAGAAGAGGATTCGGAGCTCTTTATTCATGCAGGTTGCCGGGAGGGGCAAAGTGCTACAACAAAAAGAGTCAATTAATACGATCGATGCAGCTGTATACCTGGATGATTGACGATCAGATAATGAAACACAAAAAAATTTAATCTGACCACGTTACCAATGTAATGCGTGGTCATTTTTTGGGAGAAAGCCACCCGGTAATAAGTGTACGCTTATGAAACGACACCATGTGCGCGTTATTGTAATGTATTGCAGGTATTAAGTGCTTGCAATATAATGTTGCAAGGTTATATTTTACCATTTGCCGTAAGTAAAATCTAGGTAACTACGAACCAAGCCCGTCAACTTATGTAAGGTGAGAATCGAATAGCACCAATACGGAAGCTTGGAATATCTAAATTTCATGTAACCCTGCTAATTAGCGCTAGTATATAAATATAATTAATAAATAAGTTTGCTAGCCTACAATTATGAATCAATTCTTGCTACACTATATCGGTTCACTCCCTCATTTACTATAACCTTATATCGAGTCTGTTAGCGTCATAAGCACCATTGTGTACATGCATGTTCTGTTTATATGTAGAGCGTACTGTCTCTCTTGTGTTCGGTTTTACCCTGCAAAACTATTTGGAGTAAGCCCACACAAACTACGTTCCTACCCCGTTTCGCCGGCAAAAGCAATCATTTAACAGCATTAATAACGGTGATAGTGGTGTCTGCGCCTGACGTGATAATTATTCCCACTTTATTCGTCGCAGGCGCTTACGCCACGGGCCGCACGACGGCTGGCCTTCAGCTCCCTATTGTTAGAACTACTGCTGGACACACGCATAGACCATCCCATCGTTTGCACCCGGCGCCCGTTGCCGTTCCGTTGTGGCCCCCCGCCTCCGTTTGGATGCGAAATAGAGATTCTGGTCCTACTGATGTTTTAAATCAGAAGAGGCTCTCCCAAACAAACTCTGCTAGTGAATTCAACCCTCAACAATTGCCAACTTGCTTCGCAACTTTTCATTTCTACGCTTCATCTGTTGTTCAGTTCTCTTCATTGGTCGACGTATGCTACAGTAAAGCCAAAAGACGCATAGCGAAACGAGGCCTCATCGAACGCCAGCACATCAAACACACATAACGGCAGCTCTTTCAGGCACGACACTATGCTTCACAATAGATTATGTAGAAGCCGTGTAACGTTATCCACTTGGCCCACACGGGCCGCCGTATTTCATTACTACATAGCTGAGTCAAACATAGCTAAACTCCCATTCGACACGCTATGAGTATAGTGCCCTGGTCCACCGACGGGAAAACGGAAGGCACAGTTACGCGTTTGGAAGTAAAGTCAAAAGTTTTATTAAGGACATGTCTGTTATAGAAAGTTTACTCACAAAAAAAAGCATAATATACCATACAGCAATAAAATGTAGCCGTGTTAAGTACAAGTTGAAAAATTATAGATAGCTGGGAGTTTGCAGTGGGTGCTTCGACCAACTGAAGCATTCAACGATGTTCTGAGTAGCTGTGCCACGACATATTTTGATAGCGCGATATTTACGCACGGTTGTTTAAAAGAAGCTGTCAACGGTAACTTCCTGTCAAAGTAGATAGGTCTCGCTTTGGCCAAACCTATGAAATGGTTCTGTTTAAGCATTAGTAGGGTTTTCTTGAATCCGCTACCTATATTTAAGGCTTACACGTTGTTATATTTGAGTTATAAGGCAAAAAGCCAAGCTGATTCGGTTTAATCGAGACATCACTTTTATGTGGTCCGAGTGTTCCTTACCGAGAAAAGGTTGGTATATTCGTGAAAACGATACGTAAAACGTCCTGCATCGTAAAATGGCGTTTGTGTGTTTCGGCCGTGCGATTAGTTAAAAGCCTAGAGAAGGATTGTTTTTAGTTCGCTGCTCCTCTCACTCTCTTCGCCCTTCTTTCTCGCAAATAGAGTTCTCTAGAACTAGTTCCGGCGTCGCCATTGATGCTAATTATTAATATATGTTTAATAAATGTAAAAATCAAACTATGAAAACTCGCGGCGATTATTCTTCGCTTCTCAAACAACAAGACACCTATAGCGACATCAAAATACTTCTTTTATGCAGATCGGGTACAATTTAGGCGTCCAAAAAACCGTGTCAGCAGCCTCTTATACACTTATTAAACGTTGCTTATGCGACTGCCTATTGTCGTAGCGGTTATTATTATCATGTCATTATGGACGCCATAGTAACAA